GTAGCGTGGTGGGATGAAATTTGTTAGGCCGCGGTGTTTAAGAACACCTACCATACATGCTCTAGTAGCGTGGTGGGAAGGCCCAGCTCTCTGACATTTCCCCCAAACGGGGGATATGCCGGGGTGCTGCCGAAATTTTCACTAAAGTTTGCAAGACTTGAATAAATTTGAAAATAACAATTGAGCAACCATACAAAGAACAATAGATGACTCGTACTTGAGCTGAAAGCATAGAACTTGGACTCAAATGAACGGTGAACTCAAACTTGTGGACCTTTGAACTTGATTGAACACGAACAGAAGACTTGTGGACTTGAACTTGAACAAACTCTAAATGATTTTTAAAGGCCAAATCTAAATAAAATGAAAATCAAGCTGGAATTAAATTCATAACAAGTGAAATTGAACTTGCAAGGATTTCAAAAGACCCTGAACAAGCATGTGAGCATGTATTTTGAATTCAAGCCGAATTGAATACAAGGGACCTGTGGACTTGTGCACTTGAACTTAGACTTGAATTCAAAAGAAATAAATACGAAGAGCTTGAACTTGCTACTTAAACTCAAGCATGAGCTGAATATGAGAACTTGCAAAGACTTATGAACTTAGACTTGACTAGAATCAAGTCTTTAGTGTACTCAAGTGAATGTTGAAGAACGAATGAGCTTGTGACGTAACTTGCTTGCAAGCTTGGGTTAATGAAAGCCAAGAGGAAATGCAATAATACGAGTGAAAATAGTTGTACGAATTCCTCAACAAATGAACAATATGAAACTCATAGTGCTCAAATCAATCAATGTATGAGAAAGAAAAGAAGGATGTGTAATACAAATATCTACCTCAAAAGCAAAAATCAAAGACTTGTAACATCATTAATTAACATTCTACAAATATACGCAAGGGGATCGTGATGAATATAACAGATCCGTACAGCGGTCCCTACAAGGTCAATGCGCTATGCTCATAAGCGACAACAGATAATTGCAAAGTGACAAGTATTACCCATATGTAGCAATCGAAGATTAATCCCTACAAACAAACACAAGCCGCTTGTGGATAACAACAGTGGCTTATCGTAGGTACAACGAACCACTGTGGGCACAAGTATTGATATCACCTATGACATTGGTGGTTAAGATCTTCAAGCACGCCGGGTACAAAGGCAGCCCGATGTACGAAAAGGACACCCACTGGCAGAAAGGAGGAAATGTTTTAACAAATTAGAACCAAACTTCCTGGTGTTCCAAAGTCTCTTTTTAGTTCTATAATTAAGAAGAGAACAATTCGGGCGTCCACAAACACCGGGAATAACAAACCCATTATACTGATCATCTTAAAAAAGGAGTTCTCTACAAAGCATTAAATTTCAAAATCCAGAAAGTCCTTCCCTGGTGATTGAGAAAGGGGAATCAATGTCAAGATGAGGAAATACCTCATGACATCCAAATAGAAATGCCACCGGATCTGCAACATCCGTACAAGAAGACAGAAGGCGTCTATTAATATTCCAAAAATACCCCCTGCACGTGCACTATAAATTGTATACACATGGGTACACTAAAGGGGGAAATATATTCTCAACCCGCATGGGCCCCGACGAGCATGTTATTGGTATACACGTGACATCTAGGGATGCTGCGCGGGTTAATAGAAGTCGACAGGGTTCGAACCATTAAGCAAATATAAAGTCGTGGCGACCGGTATATTTGCTTTAAAAGATTCATATTAGGCCTTCAAAGCCTATAACAATGAGAATTCACTATCAAGGGCATAAAGCCTACGAAACCCGATCCTCTGTCGAAAGTCTGACAGAGTTGACAGGGTTCAATCCATAAAGAGGAATGACCCCAAACACCCTGATGATGGCCATGTTGAATGTAAAGTTCTCTCTCGTGATCTCTACGTATCTGATCGGGAGGGGTAATTAACTACCGGTCGAAAGCAAAAGTAAACAATCAACGACTCTGATCAACGACTAGCCTTAATCGAAAGTTCTCTCTCGTGATCGGGAGGGGTAATTAACTATAGGGGCTTGCGCCTATAGGAAACCAGAACTCAGATTATAAAGTCCTCGCAAAATGAAGGCGAAATCTCTGGGTAGTGTCTTATCTACAAATCCATCTGCCATCCAAAATTTACCCCGGAACTTTTTCCGTTAAAACTCCCCTCGCTCAAGCAAAAGTAAACAATCAGTGCGCGGCGGGGAGGCCGGGGCCGAATTTTCGGAGCCCACAAATTATAAATATTTTGTATATTTTTTTAAAGAAAATATATTTTCTAATTTTTAAATATATTAAAAGTATTAAGATAAATGTTATATTGCATATTATTATCTTCTTAATGTTATTTGCTTTCATTTAAATATATTTTAGTTGTATAAAGATTGATTACTTATTGGACTTGACATTATATTAGATTGTTATTTATTTGTATTGTAATTGTTTGTTTGTTATTATGATAGTTTGTCTTTCAATTTAACGATATTTCATATTCATGCTTATTATTTTATAATTATTTTATAATTTGTGTCATGTTCAAAATGGCGCGCGCCGCGCCGTGCGCTATGCACTATGGCTCAAATAGGACCTTTGTGCCATGATGCGTCATTCGTCGTTAACAAGTATGATTGGGAAAGGACTGAGGGAAAAGGAATGGTATCGGAGCGAGATGAAGGTGGTGACTAGGGGAGGAGGATATGGAGTCGGTGGAGAAGATAAATTACAAGCCCGGTCGCTTCCTGTAGTTGATGTGTAATAATTTGCGCTCACCTAGGGGCTTCAAACCACAAGCCTGGACTCTTCCTGCGGCTGGTGGGTAGTACGTCACCCTCACCTAGGGACTTCAACTCTCATAAGAACTCTCAAAGCTCTTAAGAACAAAGTGCAGAGTTTTTTCTTAATAATCATCCCTCCCCAAAAAAGAAGAGGGGGCAATACATAGCCAAAATACAATAATAAAAGTGCCTCGGGCCCCCTAGGGTCACATAAGCCTACTCCCTCCAATGAGGGTAAAAATAAAAAAAAAATGCATAAATAAATCAAACTATAAATAATAACTCAAAATAAAGTGGTACAATCATGGTCGTCGATCTTCAGCTCCTCTGATAAACTTTCACTGTCGGATGTCCTCATATCATTCTCCCGGGGTGGAAAAAGAGCTCGACTCTGTCGAGTATGCATCCCGGGAATGCAATCATGCTCTGATATCAAAATGATGTAGAACCAAGCTAGCTATAATTGGGGTGAGATTATTGGTTTAATAGAGTTGTCAATTATGATCTCTCAATTAGAAAAATAGAAATTAAATCAAATCTCAAATCTAAAGTTAATTTGGAGTAATTGATTGAGAAACATAATTGGGAGGAGCAAAAAGGGAAAGGGAGAGAGGGAGGGGGATGGTGGTCGACAACTAGGAAGGTTGTGGGGCCGGTGGTTGGGTGAGGGAAGGGTTCGACCAAAGGTTGGGGAAAGTGGAGGCCGACAGCTTGGTGGAGGTGGTTGGGCCAAGAGCTGAAGAAGGACTGAGGGAAGAGGAATGATATCAGAGCAAGATGAAGATGGTGGCTAGATGAGAAGAGGGAGTCAGTGGAGAAGATAAACCACGAATCCGAACGCTTCCTGCGGCTGATGGGTAATACTTTGCCCTCACCTAGGGACTTCAAATGACAAGCCCGGACTCTTCTTACAGCTGGTGGTTAGTATGTTGCCTTCACCTAGGGACTTCAACTCTCACTAAGAGCAAAGTGCAGAATTTTCTCTTAATAATCATCCCTCCCCAAAAAAGAAGAGGGGGCTATAAATAGCCAAAATACAATAATAAGACATAATAAAAGTGCCCCCAGGGGTCACATAAGCCTACTCCCTCAAGTGAGGGTAAAAACTAAAAAAATGCATAAATAAATCCAAATACAAATAATAACTCAAAATAAAGTAGTACAATTATGGTTGTCGATCTTCGGCTCCTCTGATAATCTTTCATGATCCGATGTCCTCATCACTATTTATGTTCAATGTTTAAAGGTGAAAATTCTATGTTGTATATTTATAATGCAGGTTTGTTGTGTTATAGAAAACATGTGAGGGAGTGCTTTTTTGTTTGTTTCTGGTACAAGTTTCCGGCGGAATATCTGCCGGAAATAGAGATATCGCCGGAAGTTCAGGAGGGTAAACTGCCGGGAAATTCCGATGATTAATTTCCGACAAACTTTTCCGGTTGTTACCGTAGCCGGTATTTCCGGCAGTAGGTTTCCGTCGGAATTTCTGACGGACAAACTGCCGGGAAAAGTGCTTCGCATACGATTAATATTGATGTATGAGTTCCCCGGAATTCTGTAACTAAATCCGCCAGAAATATCTCTGGCAGAAAAATTCTGTCAGAACAAAATTTTTTATTTTTGTTTTACAGTCGAACAACTTTCTACCGGAAATCCGTCAGAAATGCACTTTTTCCGGCAGAATTTCTTATTTTCCACCGGATCTTGGCTGCCAGTTAGATGAGTTTTTCGTAGAGTGCATGGCCTTGATTGGCTAAAAATTTACCAGAATTACCAAGGATGAGTCTTAAGTACATCTATTGTGAAAGCATACGTTTGGCCCAATAGAACGGCATTCTATGCCTCAGTCATAACAAATTCTTTTTTGGTATTAGGCATTTAGTTGTGAAATGGCATTACTCATATAGCAAAACGGCCTCTTGTGAGTTTTAGGAAGATACCAAGGCCACAACTGGCTAAACTTTTCAATACTCACAAAAAGAACAGTCTAGTACGTCTACCAAGTGGCTCTTCTAACAATGTAATGCAATAATACTAATGAAAATGAAATCATTAAAAAACCAGTAACTACTACAAGTTCTAGTTTACTTTCCCATTGCTATAGAATAGTTAAGAAAAATGGAGATAGCATGTCATGAACTTTATTGGAATATTTTGACTAAAATCAAGAACAAGCAAATGGATATACCAAAGAACATCAAAAAGAAATAGAATAGGTGACAAATACCTTGATCGAGAAAGCAAGTGGTAATAACTTTTCAGGATCCAATGCTTCCTCAGGGAAGTTGCGCAAAGCATGAATAAGTTTCTCAAAAGCTAACTTTAACTGGAGAAATGAACTAAATAAGCCAACAAAACTAGATATAAATTCATTTCCTAGTTACCAGAATGCAAAGCTATAAACTCACCAAGTTATTCTGACAAACTGTCAACAAGGCCAAACCAACTTGAAAAACAATCTTGACGCCCTGTTCAAAACAATAATGGATCCATAATTGAACTTGATGAGAGATTATTTATCAAAATCAAGTAATGAACAGATAACAATGACAGAAGTAGCATAATTCACGAGCTACATTGAATTGAAATGGGTAGATTAATTCACCAAAAAATATTAAAAATTGTTTATGAGTAGAGAACAGAAAAGGGGAAGACAAAAAAGTAATTTGGCTAAAAATAGTGAAACAACTAATAATACTCAATAGAAGTGAATAAAAAAGAATAATTCATAAATTCACACGAGAGAGCTGAGAAAAATAATAAAGAAAGCGTAGCTGAGAGAAAAATAATCATATTGAAGAACTTAACTGAAGATTTCAGTATAGGGAAAAAAGTTATAGGTTAGAAGATAAAATTACAAACAAATGAATAGAAGACAGCTTTAAGATGAGAACAAATGGGTTTGATACTGATTCCTTAGCCCGGAGACTTTTCCTTCCAGTGACAATCCACCAAAAGAATGTTTGAGAAAAGAAACTTAAACTTTCAAGCCATTTAGTCATAGTCTTTATGTGCACATGTAAGGGATCCTGGTGAGACACGTGCCAATTACCCTCCAAAAATAAGATGATAGGAAAAAAAGAATTAAACCCTTTATTCTAAAGTTTTGTCTCTAAGCAATAGTTGAATAATCACCAGAATAACATCTCCATATGATCATAAAAAGCCAAAAGGGAAGGTGCTGTGGGATCCGAAAATTCGGCCCCGGCCTCCGCTCGCTTTTCTTATTCGGCGAGGGAGTTTTAACGAACTAAGTTCCAAGGTAAATTTTGGAAGGCAGATGGGTTTGTAGATAAGACACTACCCAGAGATTTCGCCCTCATTTTGCGAGGACTTTATGATCTGAGTTCTGGTTTCCTATAGGCGCAAGCCCCTATAGTTAATTACCCCTCCCGATCACGAGAGAGAACTTCTGATTAAGGCTAGTCGTTGATCAGATAC